GAGCATGATGATGGCAGCATAGGTACAAATGTGCGGACATGATGGATGGATGGATGGATGGATTGTGATAAGAGTTGTACTAGTCCCCAATAAAATTATTTATTAAAAAAAGGAAGTAGAATCCGCAGGAAAAAAAAAATGACAGTCTCGGAATGTAGGCCAGCATGAACTCGATGATGGCAGTGAGTTTTAACCATGGTGATATTACTGTCATAGCAGCAGTAGATAATTAAGAAAATGGATTTTCAGCAGCGACTACGGCAAAAACAAAGTATCGGGATGGAATGGCCACTCAACCTACATTTGTGGGGGGGTCCTCCCCAAATTAAAAACATTTGCTGTTTTGTGAAATCCCTAAGTCTTAATATCTCCAAACAGGCAAGCATATATCAATGGGGAAAAAAATGGTATAAAACAGAACACCATAAAAAAATTGTGTAGCTGTTTTTGCATTTGAATTTTGCTTTTTATCATTGCAGTTCTTTATTTCCACATAAAATTGCTGTCAGAAAGACTTGAGATTCTGGTGTTAACATTCTTTTAAGAAATTGTGTTTATGATGGATGGTAATTAGTTATCGCCACACCTGACAAAAATGTGTTGGTGCCTATGTCGTGTCCAAAAGTTCTACGTGTTTTCTGTTTCCTAAAATTACAGTGTTAAAAATCAGGAGTGTCTACACACTATGGCCGATGGGGCCAGAAACCACATTCAGTGGGGGACATACAACCAGAAATTCTGGGGCAAAATACCCATTTAAGGACTAAGCCTCAGGTACCAGGTGTAAGGTTACAGGCCACACAGATTCTGCTAGCCTTCTCATGCAAGGGCCAAGAACTGCTCTGAAATTGATTCAAATATCCTGAATACCTCTAGTTCTCCAATGAAAGCCGCTATTAATATCCTGCATATGATCAACATAGAAAGCCACTGTTCGTCTCTAATATATTGATCACCACCACCACCGCCGGGTTGTCATACTTTGGAGCAGTCTGCAAGTTGGTATGATGCTGCAAGCTAAGCCACCAGTATTTCAAATACTAGCAGGGTCACCCATAGTGAACAGGCTTTATCAGTGTCAGACATGAAAAAATAATTTATAAATTATCAAGGGTTTGTGAGGGAGGAAGCGTGCGGAAGGGAGGGAGGAAAATGAGGAGCTGATACCATGGGCTCAAGTAGAAAGAAAATGTTTTGAGCTTGATGCTGGCATCAAATGTATAAATGTGCTTGATACAATGGATGTATGTAGGGATTGTGATGAGTTGTACTAGCCTCCAATAAAATGATTTAAAAAAAGAAACCATCTAAGGGGAAGGAATAGGGAGTCCACTTCTGAGGGATTAGCCATTGGTAAGCCACTGCTAAGAGTAGCAGTAAAACATTGTCTGACGGAGTGCCAGAAAATTAGCCCGCTTGGACACTCAAAATACAACTGAGCAAGAGCGGCCTCCGCAAAGTACAGCTGATCCCAATGACGTGGATGGAGTAAAGCTTGACTTGCTGGTGGTGAGTCAGTTCACAGGGCTCTTCCAGCCACAATCCCCCATGTGATCTAGCTCTGAACTTCAGAGCCCTGTGGCTTTTGACCCATTTTGGGGGGCATTATCTGTGAACAAACAGGAATAGCAGAGATTAAGACTTGATCTTACTAGAGGGTGTGATTCAGCCCACATTCTTTGTTCATTCTTGGTTATTCTTACGTGTAATGGATGCAAGGAGTAATATGCAACAGCTGAGGAGAAATGCTGCTTCTGGAGTGGCCTCGGGGAAAACCCTGGCTTTTTACGAGTAGGAGGCCAATGACTACTGGAAACATTTCGCCAGAGCCCATGGGTATGGAAAAAAACTCAATTTTTTTCCCCCCGAAGCTGTGTCTTGAAATGTTTTTTACAAAATGACTTTATAATCTTCAAACTACTCTTCATTACACTTAATACATTTGTCAAGTCTGCGATCCCATTCTTGGAAAACATTTTTCAAACGTCTATTTGGATGACTGACACCTCCCTCGTACTTTTTCTTCACCTCTTCTATGGTCGGCATCAAATTGTTGTCCTTTCATGTCCCTATGGATTCTCGGAAACAAAAAGAAGTTGAACAGAGTGAGGTTGAGAGGAATGCTGTTTTGTGCCTAACACTGGTGCACTGAGTTGGCTGCATGAGCAGGTGCATTGTCACGGTAGCAAAAACCAGTCCCCCATCTGCCACAAATCTGAAGCAATCTTTTCAAAACCTTTAAATAGGAAGCTTGATTAGGAAATAGGAAGGTCTAAATAGTAAAGTCTGACCTTGTGAAAATAATCCCAAATGCACTACCAGTCGACATTTTCAGCCATTTGGGAAATTGATGGACGTCCAGAATGAGGCTTGTCATCACTTGACAACGAGAAAACCACTCATCCCCCTAGAGCTCTTTGTGAGCTATGTCCAACATCACGATCGTTTCTGTAGTGTCCCTAGGAACCAGAGCCAACCCGATGGCACCCAACAGCAAACAGAACATCTTGATCAACAAGCGATTAATTTCAGAAAGAAACCCTACTTCAATTACTTGGCAAATTATCAAAACCTCTTGTGGTGACAGATGTGGCGAGCAGACGCACTTGAGGGTGCTCTCTGGTGATTTCTGACAGGACCATCAGCTAGCCACATCTGCAGTGGGAATTTCAAGTTAGACCTGCCAATTGTTGGGTTAGCGAGAACCTGACCCACTCATAAAAGTGAGACTGCCCTTCTGGAATGACAGCACATGACCAAGGTAACTGAGGAAAGAGAAAACTAATGGAGAACTTCCTCCAACATTCACGTCTTGTGTCAGGTGGCGGCAGAGGGCGGGCAGCGTACACTCAGGGCAGGTAGCCAGTTCTGAACTGCTCCCTGTGCCCCAGTGCAGTGGCACATACTGCCTGTCCAACAGATAGTGCCCTTTACTGAGACCCCTGGAGCCAGCCACACAAAGTCCTTAGCTTCTTATAAAAGCGATTGTTACCAGGTATATTTTAATAGAAAAGCAGAGTTTCATCTTTTTTTATCCTAAGATGGAAATTCCATCAATTTTAAGTTAAAGTACTACGTCTACCTCCTCAAATAGGTTCTAAGCAAATTAAAACTGGAAAAAGTTACTACCCATTCAGGGTAAGCAGAATACCACAAAAAAAAAACCACCCCACAAGTGATGAAAGCTCACTGCTATCCAGGCAATGCTGACTCTTAGCGACCCGCTGTGGGTTTCCGAGGCTGTAACTGTGTGCGGGAGTAGAAAACCTAGTCTTTCTCCCACGGAGCTGCCCGTGGCTTCCAACTACCCACCATGAGGATCTCGGCCCAGCGTGTAACTCAAGCACAATACCACTAGAAAAGAAAATGAGGTAAGTTCCAAAAATTAAAGCTCTTAAAAATAAATCTGTATTCCTTCAGTGTTTCCTCGGGTGGTCTTTGGTAGGAAGGAGGTAGAATAAAGTATAATAAAAATGACTCGGGAAAGTACATAAGAAATTCTGTATTGAATCAGTAATGCAATGTAAGAACGGTTTATAAATTCCTTAGTTTCTGAATTCCAAATGGCTTCAGCTATAATGGTAGTATGGATATGCAAAAATGTCAGTCTTTATTTTATCAGTTCATCTTTAAGGCCCTTATAGCTTTCACCTTTGAATATTAGATCAAAATGAAAATGAGAATCTGAAAGAGTGACTAACAAGCGGATAAAAGATAACTGGAACATGGAGGCGCTTTACATGGCCATTCAATCCCAGGCACTTGCTAGGCAGGGGACAACACGCCTGTGAGCAGAAAGCAGACGATGGCACCTGTTTACAATTAAGGGGAGATTGTGGTCCCTGGAATGTTAGCCACTTTCATTACTATGTTTTCGATTGATACCATTCTTGGTTTTTGCCTCAACAAAATACATTTCTACTTTAATAGATTCACCAATTCCTTTCCTGAACGCATAAGGGGACTTCAAGAAGTCCATGGAGAAACTCAACTCTTTTCACTGTACTTTCCCAGGACTGTTGGGAAGCCTCCTAGCACTAAACGTTACAGAACTCCGAACTTGTTCCGCTCCAGGCGTCTCGGTTACCAGCACTCCAGGGCCAGGTTGGGGAGGAGCCTATCCTGAGGTGCTTCCCTGCTTCCTTCTAGGGACACTTCACCGCTAGGGCTGGCCTAAAGATAAGGCAGGGCATTCCAAATAAGTGCTTGTGTTGTGACTGTCGCCTAATGGCCTCCTCTGGGGAGGCAGTGGTCACATTGGTGAGTAAAGGCCAGAGAGTGGCCAACGCAACTGGATGACAGTCCACAATGACCAAGTGTCCACCCAAAAGGCCAGTATCTCCACTAAGATGCTGAGCGGCTGCCACCTGGAAGTAACGAGGACGAAAACGTCATTTTATTTGTGATTTTTTTTTCCGACCAGAGAACACGCCAGACACGTTTATTAATGAGAAAACTATTAAATATTTTATTGAACACAAAATATCCCAAACCAAACCAACCTATTGCCATCAACCACTTCTGATACAGACTGTCACATCTTTCTCCCATGGAGTGGCTGGTGGATTCAAACTGCAGATCCTATAGGTATGAGGCAAGTGCTTAATCACTGTCCTACCCAGGCCTCCTCAAAAGACCTACATTCTCTGGAAACCCAGCAAAGTACAAAATATTAAGTTTTGCGGGTTTCTCCACTTTGGTTTGGATAAGAAGTACACGGAAGGGGTCTAGTAAATACGACATTGGACAATTTGGGGGGAAACTCTGTTAACACTCAAGAGTTTTAGATCCTGTTCACTGATTTCTGCAAAAGGTGTGTTTTAAAGAGAAATCACATAAAGAACTGCTCAGACTTGCTTGGTAGTGAATGAATTTCTGAAGGTTCTGAATTATGGCTATGAAGAAATCAGAATCACATGTGCACAATCTCTTCAATGCAAGCAATTAAAAAAAATAGCAGCAGTAAACCTTTAAAATAGTTGTTCCTAAACTCCTGTGCGCATCTGAATTCCCTGGGGGATACAGACTGCTGGCTTCTCCCCCAGCCCCATGTTCTAAGATGCTGCTGTTAGTCTGGGCACCAACCTCTGAGAATCACTGCTTTCAGATCCACTCTCCAGAACTCAAGCTAGGACACACTGCCCATGTTTTTTCTCAGAGTTAATAAAGAACACTTCAGAGATGCACCTAAGCCCCTATTACACTTTAAATCTGCAGACTCTTGAAATGTCCTACTAAGTAGAGCAGAACACAAACTGTATTCATCTTGGCTCATGATTCCCAGGAGCTGAAGGCCAGGGACCTCAGGACAGTTCAATACTGGACAATCCACCATGCCTAGCAGACAACATTTCATTACACGTTACAGTGCATTCATTAAGGAAGCGCACACCGCTGACTGTACCCAGAACGAGAGCACACACAGGACAACATCACTCTGTGACACTTAAGGCTCCGATTTCGAGACTTCTTCCTCATCAGGGCAGCAGTAATATTCCACAAAGCTTATCTGTCCATCTTCATTTCTAATCATGTACTGTAGCGAGAGGAATCCTCGGTTATCTGTCCGAATAGACACTTTACAAGAAAGGACTAGGGCCTTTGTTGATGGTTTCAGTAAAGAAATCTTGTATCTGCAAAACAGGGCATGAAAAGCTGTTATTTAAACACTCATAAAGCAGTGCTCATTTCTCCAAATACAAAAATTAGCAAAGTTGTAAATGTAAGAATAAAAAGTATTTGTCCGATTTGGGTTTTTTTGAGACTCATCCACCATTAAAATTCCCAATCCCCAAGAAAATCCAATAGCTTAGAATTCACTTTTTTTAAATGTCTATTTTCATTCACAAACTGGATTTTTTTTAAATTTAATACAAAAATGGTATCTAACCTCACCCATGTCAACAATGTCCACATCTGTTTTAAGAACTGACCTGTTGACCTGTGTCTCATTACAATGAAATGCTTCCATCAAATCGGAATCTTTGGGATAGTCAAGGTGGGCACTTCCCGCATTTCCGTAAGTGGATAACCTAGGGAGGAAATGAACACTTGTCATTTATTCACCAACCCAACTCTCAGCCACACTCCCACCCAAATACAACTCGTAGGAAGCTCGTTCAGGTGGGTGAAACAGACACTCAAACAATTATTTGCAAAATACCCTGGGCAGTTAGGTGTCCTATGGTGTGGTGGTTAAACACTCGGCTGCTAACCAAAAGGTCAGCAGTTCAAACCCACCAGCTGCTTCATGGGAGAGAGATTTGGCAATTTGCATCCATAAAGATGGCCAGCCATGGTAACCCTGTGGGGCAGTTTTGCTGTCCTATAGTGCTCTGAAGGACAATTGTCTGTTAGTTTGTCATATTGGGGTGGCCTGTGGGCCTGTGTGTCGCTGTAATACTGGAAGCTATGTCACTGATATTTTAAAGTACCAGCAGAGCCACCCAAAATGATGTTTCAGCAGAGCTTCTAGACAAAGAACAGTCTACGAAGAAGGAATTGGCTGTCCACTCTGGGGAAACAAGCCAGTAGCAGAACATTGTCAGATACTGAAAAACCTCATGAAAAACAAACACGCCGGAGGCAGTGCCAGCAGATGAGCCGCTCGGGTCGGAAGGCAGACCAGGCTGAGACGCTTCTCAAAGCAGTCGAGCATGCTGGCGAGATGGAGCAAAGCCTGAGGGACCCTCACTTGCTAATGGGGCACAAGCCTCCAAATGAGGGCAGCTGCAAGCATCTATTAAAAGAATTGGTACTTAGAATGTATGAAGTATGATTCTAAGAAATCTGGAAGTTGTCAAAAATGAAATGAAACGGCTAAAGATGGCTATCCCAGGCTTGGGTGAGCTGAAATGAACTAGCACTGGCCATTTTGAATCAGAAAATCACCCGGTTTACGATGCGAGGAATGACAAATTCAGGGAAATATCGCATGCACTCATCACCAAAAGGGACATTTCAAGATCTATCTTGAAGTACAGTGCTCTCTCTGATAGGATATCTAGACGCATACACGGAAATTCAGGCAATACAATGACTGTGCAAATTTATGCACCAACCACTTAAAGCTAGTGATGGAATGAGGGAATTTTACAAGCATCTTCAGTTTGAAATTTATCAAAATACAATCAAGCTGCATTACAGCTATTTATCAGTAGTTGGAAAATAGGGCCTTGGTGATAGAGAGGGAGCTGGAGGTCACATGACAGAAATCTGCAAGACAGTAACCCTGACCTTACCTCATTCTTCACAAGGCCGGCCTACCTAGGTGAGAACGCCCCTCTCTTCCACAGCTGCCCCTCAGTATGCACAGGACACTGGCTCCATGAATGCTCAAAACCCTTATAAACCCTGGCCACTGTATTTGCATATAATCTACACCCATTCTCTTGTACGCTTTAAATCATCTCCAGATTACCGATAACCAATGCATTACAAATGCTAGGTAAGTTGTTCTCTAAGCTCCCTTGCAACCACTTAATTTCGCCTCCTCTCCCATTCCCAGTATTTTCTATCCACAGTTGGTTAAACCTGTAAATACGGACCCAAGGGTAGGGAGGGCTGACTGTGTTAGTCTGGTGCTCAATAACATGCAATTCTGGAAGTCTGTGCTTTTCAACCGGTCTCCTCTTTGCTTCAATTTTAAGCTGTTCTTCTCCTTAGCACTTAATAAAACAGACATGCATTCTAGATATTCAATAATGAATGAATCAGATATAACATTTACTTGCTTTTGCATTCTATACTCATCTGAAAAGAATGAGGGAGGAAGAAAAGATATCCTGTATTACAAATACCTCCTTCCATGCCTTTAGACCCAATTTCCCTTATGCTGTAACCCGATCTGTAACAGAAAGTTATCCGAAAAATGAAAAGACCACTAGTTTTTGAATTGGAGACCAGACTGTTCAACTAGAAATCAACATTACCTGTGAAACCTGAGTGGACAAATCTTCCCGGACCTCCAGATTTGTATTATTAGAAGTAGATATACTACTGACAGGGAAAACGTGTAACCAGTGTGGAAAGTGCGATGGCGCTTCCTCAAACCACTGGGGATAGAAATACCACCTGACCCAGCAACCACTCTACTTGGTATACAAGCTACGGGCATAAGAACCACAGCACACCCATGCTCATCGCAGCACTAATCATCATGGCAAGAAAATGGAAATGTGCATGCAGTATGGTTGGTGGCATAAACACAACAATACTAGAGTATACATATAGTACTTGGTGCATACAACAGAATACTATATACTATACATTGCTGAAGAATAAAGATGAAGCTGTAAAATCCTTCTTGACATGGATGGAATTGGAGAATATTAGGCTGAGTGAAAAACAGTCAATCACAAAAAGATAAATATTGCATGAGACCACTATTATTAAAAATCAATCCATCAAGAAATAGCATTCCAAAAGAAACACACTTTGCTGGTCCCCAGGAATGAGAGGGGGAGGTGAGGAAGGGGGAATCAGAGGCTAGAGGGCACAGCTGTTAAGGTGGGTGAAGGGGAAGATACTATCCAACAAGGGGGGGGTGGGGGGCTGGGCAAAAAAGGATGGAAACAAGGCAAGGCACTGGGAGATCTGGTTAAGTGGTGGATACAAGAATGATGACTTAGTCTGTAAACGATTACCTAAAGTCACAATAAAAAGTTTTAAATCAACAAGGTAGAATTAAAAGCTACCATTTTGAAATGTCTAGGAACCTGGACAATAAAAACTTACGCATCTCAAGCAAATATGTAAGTAAAGATGACACTAACTACAGCTCAGTGCTTTCCAAGTACCTGAAGTAAGGCTTCTCTGGGGACATGGTGATCTGTAAGACGTCACTCGTCATATCCAATTCAGAAAACGCTTCGCGGAGCCCCTCTGACTGCAGGATGACCTTGTTAATGACGTTGGTGCTGCAGAAATCAAAATCCAGCGTGTCCTCGGGCTCCTGAGTATTGATTTTGCAGACGGTCACCACGCCGCCTTCTTCCAAAAACAGCATTAAAGGGTGCCCGTAGCCCTGGTAGCACATCCGGAGGGCAGTGAAAGTGCCTGCGAGGGAAAGGAATCACACCGGACTCAGCGCCACGGCTGAGCCCCTTCCCACACCAGCGACCAGCCTGTCTTTGTAAGGCGACATTTTCCTGAAGACTGCTGTGTGCAGACAATTCCAAAAATGGGAGGAAAAAAACCAAGAAAATTGGGAACTAAAAGTACAATGTACCATTAGCTCTCTGAAATTATTTTGTACTTTACTCAAAATACAGCAGAAAAAATTGTTTGACATACAACTAAATGTATATAATTTCAGGATGGAGAGTCTACAGCAGTGGTTCTCAACCTTCCTAATGCCATGACCCTTTAATACGGTTCCTCATGTTGTGGTGACCCCCAACCATTATTTTAAACCCCCCAAATTATTTGAATTGCTACTTCATAACTGTAATTTCGCTACTGTTATGAATTGGCTAACCCCTGTGAAAGGGTAGTTCGACCCCCAGAGGGGTCTCAACCCACAGGCTGAGAACAGCTGGTCTACATGGACCATGACTACAAGCAGCAGAATTGCTGGCCAGGCCAGATTCCTTTACTTTTAACTTTCAGAGCCCTTCATTGTGGCTTAGGTGGAAGACTAGAGAGCATGTGCGCTTCCTGTTGAACAATGCACACATAGATCCATGCATGGCATTAGCTACAATCCCTTCGGCGGTCAGCACTCTTCCCAGTTACCATTCGCCCACTTTGCTGCCCCTTTCTGCTTGCTGAAGTTTACTTTTGGGCAAATGCTACCAGTTGCCTGTCTTGAGAAGCCCATTCCTCATAGGGCTTACTGTTCACTTCATGGGCCTGCCTAGGGTTTGGCTGTCAGGTGATTTTCAGGCACAGTTTCAACTCTACATAGAAGGGTGATGAAGGACCATAGTCTCCACCATATCAGGCCAGCAAGTCTATTCTTTTCATGAATTTGAACTTTGTTCTCCATCTTCCCCCCACTTTGTCTAGGACCTTCTCCCATGATCCTGGTCAGAGCCGTCAGCAGTGGTGGCCAGGCACCATCTAGTTCTTCTGGTTTCAGGCTTGTGGAGGTTGTGGTTCACGTGGTCTTTTAGTCCCATGGACTAATTGTTTCCTTGAGCCTCTGCTCCAGATGGGGAAAGACCAAAGTTGTAACCTAGACGCCTATTCCCAGGCTGTGGAGCCCTCAGTTGCTACTCACCGGAGTCAAAGGTCGCATGCTGTCTTTAAGGACTACCTCATGCTAACTGACCTCGATGTCCCAAGACTACGGTCCCCAGCCCCCACGCACAGTAACTCAGGCCCATGAGGTGGCCAAGAAGTGTTCCTGGCTGTGTCCCTCTGGCTACGCTACTTCTGGGAAGTCACACCTGCACAACAGTGGGCTGTTTCCGATAGCTCCTATAATCTATCCAGCGAGGCGCCCTGGAGTTCCAGCGGTGAAACACAAGTCAGCAGTTTGAACCCACCAGCTGCTCTGAGGGACCAAGCTATGGCATCTGCTTCTGTACAGCCTTAGAAACTCTCTGGGGAGGTTCCACTCTGTCCCATGGGGTCACAATGGGTTGGAATTGATTTGATGGCAATGGAATTTTTGTCATGTCAGTGAACTCACTATGATAAGGATCCTCAAACATTTCCTATCAGAAGGTATGTCTTTCTCTGACCTTCAGTTCCAATCAACCTGAGACTGCTGGTACTGAAGGTACAACCACTGTGGACAACAGTATAGTACTTCCTTAAAAAGCAGAAACAGAAATCCCATTTCACCTATCAATCCCATTAATAGGGACATAATCTAAATAAAGAAGGACCAGGACATGGAGAGATCTGTACACATCCATGTTCACCGTAGCATTATTCATAATAGCAAAAGGGTAGAAAAAGCTGACGTGTCCATCCATCAACAGATGAATGCATAAGCAAACCAAGGTTTCTATCACACTAGACTATGATGCAATGTTAAAGAACAAGCAAGACTCGGAGAAATAAAATGTGGATGAACCAGAAGAACTTTATGCGGAGTGAAAGAAATCTCAAAAAAGACAAATATTGTATGAGTCTTGATTACTGAAAAATCAAAAAAAGTTACACACATGGGAAAAATAATGATTACCAATGATTGGAGGGAAAATCCCTAACTAGTTAATACCCCAAACCAAATTCACCACCATGGAATCGACTCTGACTCTCAGTGACCTCATAGAGACTACACCCTACACACAGTTATATGTGCTATAACCACATCCAAGTTTATTAAAAGCGCAAACAGGACGTTAAAGTATGTAAACTTCTCAGCCTTAACTAATGGCTAAGGAAGGAGTCACTGGACCCAGAGGTTTGGGACACAAGTCACTAGGGACATCAAGGTCAATTGGCATAACCTAATTCACAAAGCCAATGTTCTACTTTCTACTTTTTTGAGTACTGACTGGGGTCTTAGAAACTTGCAAAGGACCAAGGCGGCAATGAAGAGCGAAAAACACTTAAAAAACACATGGAAACAATTAGTCCAAAGCACTAACCTCAGTCTCCACCCCCGAGACCAAAGGAACTAAACGGTGCCTGGCCATTAGCATCGATCCCTCTGAAAGGGATCACACAGAGGGCTTTAAATAGAGTGGGAGAAAAATATGGAACAAAACCCCAAATAGCAAAGACCAAGGCTAACGGCCTAACAGAGACTGTGGAACCCTCAAGACGATGGCCCTTAATCACTCTGCAAGACTGGACCAGAACTCACCCGTGGCTCCACTTCCAGCCCAACAACAGACAGCCTACAAAGTGTGTGCTTTCACTGGACTGTTACCCACACCTTAGAACAATCAGCTACATGAAATCAAAGCATTTGCCCTCGGAGGAACTGCAGGCGGCAGGGAAGCATGGGAAAGGTAAGTGGCTAAAAATGGTAAGCCTAGAAAAAACAGGGAGAGCAGTGCTGCCGCATTGTGGGTGCTGCCACCCATTGTCATGAAACACAGTGTGTGCAAACTGCTGAATGGAAAGCCCCAGCTTGCTTTGCAAACCTGCAAGCAAATCACAGTAAATGTACTGACCAAAAACCAGAACACTATAGTGAACGCATCCCTAATGCCAACCTTCTTATTCAGAGTTGTCATCAGTTTATTCATAGTGAAACACTGGCTGCTATAGAAAAAAAAATCACACGCACTTGTTTATCTCTTGAAATGAAGTATATTTTTAAAAGATCCAATTTGGGGGGGGGGGTGCTTAATGGTTGTGTGGATCTTAACATTGCAAAAACCAGCGGGAAGGAGAACTACAGCAGGGCCTGCGAGTCCTTTTCTAACTTGACAGTACCAGTCCGGGTGGGGGAGGGCAGACTGCTTGTGGAAAACCTGCCAGGGCAACAACACTGTTACAAAGTGAAGACTACTAGTGGAATGCTTCCAGCCACAATAAAGCATATTTACCAGAGAACTACTACTGAATTTTCCCCAGCTAAACTCCAGATTCCCCTCCTACAAAAAGAAATCATTCTTCGGGGAATCTCTTGTAGTTTTCTGTCGATAGCAAGTGATTGTCACCATTCTGGAAAAGAATCCCTAAGAATATGAAAAAATCTGAAGGGGCTTCAAAAATTTTGTGGAAAAATGGTATTGAAAGACAATAGAAACTTTCCACTAACTTTTGGAAGCCCCTTCGTACACATGTTAAAGTACTTGGGGACACAATAAAGAAAGCAGGGCTTAAAGAACTTTAAGGAATGAAATTTTGAATACTGTCATCTGGAAGTCAGAACTGGCTTTTCTCTGCCACTAAGTAACTGCACATTTCTGGACAAATCAGAGAATAAACAATTAAAATCTATTTCACAAAGTCAAAGTTATTGAAGACATATTCAATAACTGACCAAGGTTTATTACGGTCAGCTCAGATTTAAAGTCTCTGAACTCTTATAAATTAGGAAGGAGAAAAGGTGAATGTACTATTACGGTAAATATGTTAGGACCATAAACACTTCCTTAATATTGTAAAAAGTCAAAATCCATGATTGTAACAAGAAAAACTGACAAAGAGAAAACAAGAAAATGGACAGCTGAATCATTAAAACAGCTGTTTATGCTCTGATAACTCGTATTTTTTTCTGACAATCCTGTATGTTTGTGTGTCACAATGAAATAATGAAATGGTTCACCTGGCATAGGGCTGGATCCAAAAATAGAGAGGCAGTCTAAAAGGACACCCAAGTTAATTCGAAATGTAACCGATTCTTCCTGAACTTTAAATTCTTGAAATATTTCAGCCTAGGAAAAAGGAAACATGGATACATAATTATCTACGTCAAAGAATGAGAAATTGCATACAACATTCTAGATTTCACTTTCTGTTTTAATAATAATATTGTGGTAACCCTAAAAATCTATTTTTTCCCCAATGAAAGTTTTATCTTGTACAATATTGAGTATTCCTTTGAAACAATTGGGGATTTCCCCTTCTACATGAAAAAGTTTCAACGATGGAGAGAATACATTGAACTAAACACTGCCTAATAATTGCTCATTTTTAATCAAGTTTTTTTCAATTATTACTCATTCAATAACATGACCCACGGGCTAAAGAATGCTCCTTCCAGGCAAAGATGGTGAGACTTTGTCTCACATGCATCCTGCATGGGAAAGTGGAGAGGCAGCAAAGGGCAAGGCCCTTGGCTAGATAGACTTGACACCGGCTGAAACAATGGGCTCAAACGAAGACCAGTCCTGGGGATGGCGCAGGGCTCCGCTGTGTTTCTGTCACCTGTGCACTGGGGTTGCTATGAGTTGCAACTGGATTGGTGCCAACCAACCTCCACCACCACCTCCTAGAACTACTGCGAGGATTAACTGACAACGTAAGCAGCACTCACAAGAATGCCAGGCGGGGCAACTTAACTGAACAGCATCATGAACTACTTATCTCCCCTGTAAAAGAAGATGGGAAAATAATTTCTCCCAGGAGAGAAAAAGAGCCCTGACATGGCAGTTTGTTCTCCGAGAAATGATCTTCACCAAGACGCTCTGCTTCGTGAAACGGGGGAACACGTGGCTTCCGTCACAAGTACCTGCTGTGCCGTACCTGAATAAAAGCATTCGCTTGCACACACTTCGCCTTTTCTACTGTAACCTTGATTCCATTTACAGTAGCAAAACACGTGGCGTGATCTTGGAAATGAATCGCTTTCAAAACCGTGGAGAGATTCCTCACGTTGTCCAGGCTGGCCACCAAGCTGTACTGTTCGTCGTCGCCTGGGAGGTGCTGGGTTAGGAGGGGCATCGTCCGCGGGGGGCCAACGCCTGCTCCAGGGCAACACCTGCGGAGATGCGACACCAAAACAACCGGTCACCGTGGCTGGCGAGGCCAGCGGAAGTGGCCCGAAAGTGGAACTGGCCGAGCCGAGTTCGAACCCCAACTCCGTCGGTCCCTCAACTGTCTCTGCCACTTCGGGGGGAATGGCTCATCGAGGCTGCGGGTTCCGCTTCTTCAGAGTGGGAAAGCGTTCTGCAGAAGGCACATACGCAATGGACGCAGCTCGTTTCGTCACGCCAGCCGGGCTACGTCATCCCCAAACCTCGGCGCCGAGTCGTCCCGCGCCCAAAGCCCCATCTCAACACGAACGGAGGCGGGGCGGGTCCCGATTCCTCAAAAAGCCTCTTACCGGCCGGCCGGCCCGCCCGCCCGCGCGGCGCGCCAATCCTACCTTCTTTACGAAGTCCGGACCCTGGAAATGTCTTCCCAGAGAGGCCACTGGGGAAGCGAGCCCCGCCGCCCCGAAAGCCCGGGAGGAAATGAAGTCACGCCCCACCTCTCTGCAGAGAGCGACTCGCGGGGGCAATGACCATCGAGACAGAGGAAGCCTAGAGGGCCGCGTTCACAGTAACCATAGAGACCGGAAGGAGACGCCATAGAGTTGGAGGAAACGCGGAGACCTTGGCATCCGGTACCATAGAGATCGCAGGAAGGGTAGAGTCGCCGAGCCGGAAGGAAGGCGCGGGACCGTGGCGAGGCAAGATGGCGGCCACCAAAAGGAAGCGGCGTGGAGACCTGGCCATCCAGGCCAAGAGGCGAAAACGGAACAAAAAAGATGCCGGATCACCGGCTAAGCAGCACGACATGGCAAAGGAGGCCGAAGAGGAAGGCACAGACTGCATCCCCGGCCCTGTTAGCAAGGTAAAAAATGCATTCGTGTTGCATCGGGTACCGCGGTCCCACGCGTCTGCGCACCCGCTAGCTACCAGGTTCGGTTCAGCGAAGTTGGAGGCATCTCTGTGTCACTGGAACTCGGTCTCCGCGCTCCTCTGGGCAGGACTGGGCGCTCTTTCGTGTAAGCGCGTGCACGTGTCGGGTCTACCTGCCCTGAACTGATGGAGTGGGAGCGAGCCATGCCTCACCGGGCTCGTAAAGCGACCGAGGTCAGCCCCAGTGTTGAGAGCTATTATTATTATTATTATTGAAATAGTACATCTTCCTAAAGTGATTTATCGTGCATTTTTCTATAATTAAAACAACTAAAACAAGCTAATCGCTAATTAGTCGGGTCAACTCTTGGCGACCCCGGTGTGTCATAGTAGTTCTATAGGGATTCCGTAGGATGATGTTTTGGAAATCGGTTTTATCAGGCTGTTGCTGCAGACCTTTGAATGCATTCGGATTGCCACCACTCGTTAACAGTTGACTATATCCACTGTTGGTATCATTCTTCCTGTGAGTAATCTAACCAAGTTCGACTCCATTTAGTGTTGTTGGGTGCCGGTGCTTAAGTTCCAACTCGTTGGGACCTTTTGTGCAACAGAATGATTCATTGTGCAGTCGTGTGTGTGCCCCACAGTCTGCACCTACTATGTGTCCTATGTCTGCACCCACTGTGTCAATCCATGGTGTTGAGGGCCTTTCTGTTTTCTGCCGATGTATGTTGCCCGTCAGCAGGTACTGGTCACTCCTGATATGGTGTCCAAAGTCTATGTGATGCAGTTTCACCGTCTAATCTTTTAAGGAGCTTTCTATCCAGACGAGAGATCTGTCCATTTTCCTAGTGTCCATGTCTGTCCATTCTTCACCAACACTATAATTTTGACATATCCGTTCACCTCCGGCCTTCCTAATTCATCCAACTTTCACATGCGTATGCGGCGGTTGAAAATACCACAACTTGGATTGGGCGAACCCTGCCCCTCAAAGTGACATCTTTCAAAAGGTCTTTTGCACCAGATTCGCTCAACACAATGTGGTGGTTGCTCTTTTTTTTTGACTGCTGTGCCCATTGGCAGTAGGCCAAAGTAAAATAGAATAGAAATTCCCATTGGCCATTTCTTGTGTTTATTGGTCCTGTTGTGAGGATGTTTGCTTGTTTTCATCGAGCTGTACTTAAGTATCTTCACCAGCAAGTGCTTTGAGGTTGTGCAGCTGCGTATCACAGCTTGTTAGTGGCCCTCCTCCAGTCCTGATGCCAAGTTCTTCCTAGCCCACCTTCTTGATGATGTACTCAACATGCAGGCTGAGTAGATTTCGTGAAAGGATGGATACAGAGCTGACGGGGACCCTTCCTGACTTCAAGCCATGCAGTGTTACCCTGTTGATCTCTGTATGTTTCTGCTTCAGCACGGTGCAGTGTTCTGGATGAAATACCCTTGCTTCTTAATGTTATCCATAGTTTGTTATGATCCACGCAGTCAAATGCCTTTTGGATGGTCCCTAAAACACTGGAAAACTGCTTTCTAGTGTACTGTGTTTCAGCCAAGATTCCTCTGAGGTCGGCAGTGAGGTCCCTTGTCCCGTATCCCCATCAGAATCCGGCTTGCATTTCTGGCAGGTCCCTGTCAGTGTACGGCTACATCCATTTTTTTAATTACCTCAAACAAAATTTTCCTTCTGTGTGACTTTGATGAGTCTGTTCAAAAATTTCTATATTCTGTTGAGACACTTTTATTGGTAATGGGCACAAATAGGGATCTCTTGCGGTCGATGGGCCAGGTCCTAAAGTACGTGCCCTCAACATGGTATTTGTCTATTGAAATATTTCCATAGTTATCCTATCAACTCACGGAACCTTGTGGTCTAGCAATGCCTTCAGGGCAGCTGGGGCATCTTTTTCAGTATCATCGGTTTTTGATCATATGCTCCTACTTGAAGAGTAATGTCTGCCCATTCTTTTTGGTTCAGGGACTGTGTATTACCTTCATCATCTTTGGCTCCTTCCTGCATTATTTCAGCAGTAAGGATGGAAACGTGAAGTGTTTCTTCGGTTCTTCCAGCATAAGAAATGCTCAACGTGCTCTTCCATGTTGGTTTAACTCCAGGCCTGGGCCTGTTTCTGTATACTTTCACATCTCAAGGTGCCCTTTGAAGTTTTCTGTTCAGCTCTTACTTTATCATCCCAGTTGCCTTAGCATCTTTACATTGAAGAGCAAGTTCAGAGTCTCTTCCGACACCCACTGTGGTCTTTTCTTTGTTTCCTGTTGCTTTAATACCTTTTGCTTTCTTCGTGTATAGTCAGTCCTTTTGATGTCCTCCACCAGCTCGTCTAGTCTGGTCATGAACGCTCAGTGCTTCAAATCTATTCTTCAGGTAGGTGGTCTCTAAATTCAGGTGGGCTGTAACAATGTATTGCCTCTCTTGACCCCCCTCCTATGAAATTGGAACTCTTTATTTCTTAGAAGTATATGGTTTCTTTCCAGTAAATATGGTAGTGGGCTGTTATCTAACCCAATATGCAATTGGCTCTCAAGAGGAAGAGGGAGTTCAACATTTCCAAAAAATAAAATGTATAGTAAATTAATTTTATATACAATTATTATGTTTTCCTTCTCATGGTGAACAATCAGGTGTAACCTCACATTTACGTCTCTCATCACTCGTGTAAGAACGTGCCAGTGGCACTAATGATAATAATGTGTCTTAGGACATGTCTGGTCTCGTCTTGCACAAAGTGGACCAAACGCATCCTCAGATGCAGTTGCCCCTGCTTTTGTATCACGTTCTCTGCTGTTGCTCTCACCCTCGTTGGATGTCAGCAGTAGTCTAATGAGCTACGAAGATGCAGTATTGAAAGTCAGAGAGTAAGTGCACACTTGGGAGTGCTGTATATCCTCGAGTATACGCCGAGGCACCTAATTTTACCACAAAAACCTGGGGGGCCTTTTGAGCATTAAAAACGGGCTGAAAAAACTTGGCTTATACTCTAGTATAGATGGTATTATTTCAAGACTGAAAACCGTTAAGGAGCTCTGCGAAGGACCCACCGACAAAGACCATACCAAAAACCAAGATTACTGCCAGCTGCCTTAGAAGTACTGTTTCTGAACTCTCGGCCCGAAGAACAAAATCACATGTTCTAAATCCATTGTTATTATTTTCCACTTATTTTAAAATACAAATTTTTGAGCTGACATCCAAATTCAAGTGTAAATTTTTTTTTACAAATCCTATTATAAATCTTTTTTTAATTTTTTGAATTTATTAACTAAGGCAGAATCAAATGTCAAAAGTGACATTTTATATCCAGATACTATTAAATGACAACTAAGCAGAATGGGAAAAATGAAAGCCTCCCACAAGATGAAAAGAATTTGTGAAGGGCTATTAAGAACTCCGAACTGACTTCCTTTTAAAGCAATGACTGGAAAGAGACTTTGTCCATGATACAGTGTACTCTAGTACCTCTAGGGATGAATTGTTGCAACCCTGTGTAGATGAGAAACTGGCATGGCTGCACCTGACCCACCTCTGGTTTCAGTGGGTAGGTGGAAAATCCAGCTTCCTCTACCCTCACTCCTTTTCTCCTGATCTGACACCAACTGCCTCTCCCAGGACATTCTCTGACTGGGATCCATAAGTCATTGCAGTGGCCACACAGACAATCCTCACAATTATGGGGTTTTACCACATCCACACCAAGAAGACAAACTCAATTCCAACTCATAGTTACTCTATGAGTAGAACTGCCTCTGTGGGTTTCCAAGACTATACTTCTTTATAAGAGTTGAAAGCTTCTTTTTCTCCCATGGAGCAGCTGGTGATTTCGAACTGTTGACCTTGTGGTAAGCAGCCCAGTGTATAACCTGCTATACCGCCAGGGTACCTGAACTACAAGTCAGGATGTGAAAACATTATCGCCCTCTTATCTACAACAGCACCTCTTCCCAGCTAGCCACCAAGTATCTCTCTGGACCTCAGCCTCTCTTCTGTGTCAGCCCTTGGCCTCTGCCTTCAGAGGCCTGCTCGCAGCTCTGCCTCTACATGTTATTTTCATGACTCCACGACTCCACCCAGTCTTGGGTGGAGATTAATAGAGCTGGGTGGGTATAAGAGCCATAAGTAATTAATTTCATTTCACCAGAGTATGACATAATGAAATACTGCCTGATCTTGTCACCATCCTCACATTTGTTACGTTTGAGCTCATTGTTGCAGCCACTGTTTCAACCCATCTTTTTGATGGTCTTCTTTTTCACTGCCCGTCCACTTTACCATGGCATCTAAAGTACTTGAAGCAAAGTCTCATCATACTTCTCAGGAGCATAAGCCAGTCCCGTGGCATGTTGCCACTATGTCAAGTCATTAAAAGGGCACACAATGCAAACTTTTAGAACATAATGAATATGCCATCTTCATACCATATACTCTGTATTTATGTAGGCTGTAGTACAGTGGGTTATTGTCTAGCAACACTTTCTCTAGTGTTCACTGATTCTATACCATTTTCATTTTGTGCTGATTGGTCTTAGCATATATTTAGGCAGTGATTGAAAATTAAAATGGATTATAATTCACTTTGGGAAGCGCAGTCTGTGGTATGCAAACCCCACGGTATTTATTTGTGTAGGTTCTATGGAATAATACGTTGCAGCATCTTCATTAGCTTCAGCCTCTCGAAGATTCAGGGTTAAATTTAGACTCTTGCACAGATCTTTAACTGGCATTAGCAGGACATTTGCATAACTTAGGAGAAAAATCTTAAAAGCACAGCAAATACTGATGAGCAAGCACCTCACCGTTGTAAAAGCAATAGAAAGAAACAGTGAGTGGTGAAAGTGCCCCAGAACTACTGAGTGGCAGTATGGTGCACATTCTGCTCCATCTTTGGCAATCTTGAATCTTGCACTGTAGGAAGCAGGGGGATGTAGAAGTTCTTCCAGCTAGAATTCCTTAAAAAAGGAAGCTATCCTTAAGCATGAATACATCCAAGAAATTAGTCAGACTTTCCTTTAGCCCTATAACGCCAAGCGCGGCGTTTTCATAACATTTAATTAAATGTATACATTAATATATATATTAACTATAAAAGTAAAGAATAAAGACAAAAAAACAACTTTTTTCCTGAAATTAAAAATTCAGGTGTCACAGGGTTTGGGAGCAGTGGGGCAATCTCACTATAGCTTCAGGAAAGGCAGGTTTCCCTCATTAGTTAGATAACAGTTCCATCCTAAACGGTAAAGTCCAGTGTGTTTCACGGTGTTGAAATTGCTGTACCCATGTTCCTAACTGGAGTATTCAAAGCTACCTAATAGAATGAACATTGTTTCATCCCTAAAGAGATTCAAAACCCTTAGCGTATAACAGTGATTCGACTCATTGACTACTTTTGGAAGGAGAGGTTGTGTGGCAGCCTACTGGTAGACAAATCACTGAAAAATTTAAGGGCAGAAGATAGAAATATTTTTTACTATAATGTACTGAGATGAACTTGTAATATTTGTTTTCTGAGCAGTAAGTTTTTTGGGTAGCATTCTTCATGAGTGCGCTTATAATTACATCATTTGTTATGAAAGAACGCATCAGAATTGAAATCTGAGCTGCTTAAAATGGGTGAAAGTCAATTTTTTGTTGTGATAGATGTGTAGAATTTTATATGATTGCTCGAACAACTATTTATTGGCTCTCTTTTATACTTTAGATTATCGTCTTTTACTGTGGAATACTGTCTGTATCTGCTGGAATGATCAGTGCCACTTTTGCGATCGGTCGCTAATACTATTCACTGCCATCGAATTGATTCTGACTCATAGTGACCCTGTAGGACAGAGTAGAGCTTTCCCTGGAGGTTTCTGAAATTGGAAGTCTTGAAAGGAGTAGAAAGTGTTGGTCTTTCTCCCACAGAATGGCTGGTGCAGCAGTTCTCACCTGTGGGTTGCGACCCCTTTGGGGGTCGAACAATCCTTTCACAGGGTTGCCCGATTCAACTACATTAAAGGGTCGTGGCATGGGAAGGTTGAGAACCACTGAGCTGGTGGTTTTAAATTGACCTTTTGGTTAGCCGGTCAACAGGTAACCACTATGCCATCAGGGATCCCTAACTAATATTTAAAGGGTCACATCATGGATAGCTAAGATACACACACATACTGTATGTATGTTGTGAAACTTCTTGTAGGCTTTTACTCTTCCTTCATGGAGCTGGAGTGTTGATGGCGTCTCAACGGGTAGGATTTTGACCCTCAAAATGTGAGGCAACAGTGCAAGTGTAGAGAAAATTCCCTGATCAAAGTTGAAAATTCTGAGATCTAAAGACTAGAGCCAGACTGGCGTGTATAGACAATGGATGTGAGGAACAGACATCAGAAAACCCACTGGTGCATCAAGTTGATGTTGACTCCTGGCAACTTGATAGGGTTTCCAGAGCTATAAGTGGTGTTTGGCACAAACCGCTTCATGTTCCTCCCATAGTGGGGTTGGTGGGTTTGAACAGCCAGCCTTGTAACCGGTTAGTAGTCCAGTGCTTACCCAACAGCACTACCACGGCTCCTTGATTTGGGAGTAGGGGTACAATGAATTCCGTTTTACAGCTAGGTTGTTTGACATTGATCTTGAAAGCCCTGGGAAGTAAGAATGTGACTGGGAGAGCCGTGATTAAACATCATGCTAGTGTTCCTTGGTCATTTCCGTTAGAGGGATCCTGTCTGGAGTGATGTTATATAAATTGCTTCGTTATTAACTAAATTGAGGTATTTGCAATGGATACTTCAGTGAGCTTGTTTCCTTGTGTATGTACTTGACACTTTCATGCCCCTGAATGACACACCTGGGGGAAGAGGCCATGCAGAGCTGCCACTCTGGTCTGGATACATCAGAGGATGGTGGTCTGTTGAAAAAACGAGATACTTAAAATTACTTTTTTAAGGGTCCATTTGAGATTTGACCAACAAACATTCTTTTTTTTAGGGCAAGTGGAAGAATAAGGAACGGGTTCTCATCTTTTCTTCCAGAGGAATAAATTTCAGAACAAGGCATTTGATGCAAGATTTAAGGATGTTGATGCCTCATTCTAAAGCAGGTACCTTTATATCTCATTCATTTCTTTAAAAATTGTGCTTATAGACATGTTTCTGTATGTATATAAGGGAGCTTTAAAAAGTGGACAATGAAGCCCCATTGTATATGCCCATTGCCATCAGAGGCCATCCCAGCACATGGTGACGGGGACCAAATCGAACTGTCCCTGTGGGGTTTCCATCTACGGAAGTCAGCTGCCACAGCGTTCTCCCGTTGGTGACTTTCCTTTAATTGGCAGTCAGGCACTTAACCACCAGGGATCTATGAGGCTTCGAGTTGTGCTGCATACCACAAGGTCAGCAGTTCAAATACACCAATCTCTCCTCGGGAGAAAGATGAGGCTTTCTACTTCCATAAACGAGTCATGATCTCAACCACCAACTAGACAGTTGTAGTCTGTCCTTTGTGGTCACCTTGAGGCAGAAAGGACTAGAGGGAATGAGGAAAACACCCTGCAGGAAGTGAGAGTTAAAGGAGAATGGGATATTTCCATGAAAACTTGTTCAGGCTTGCCAGGTGAAAAACCATGATCTCTGCCAAGCGTATCCTTTCGAGTGCCACAGTTTCTACTTAACATTGTGCTGGCCTTTTTTAAAGACATGGGTCAAACATTTTCTTTAACAAAATATCCTAATACTTTTTAAACATTTCTTAAGGTCCAGGAGTGCTTTCAGATCTAACTTTCAGAGGTCTTGAGATATAGTCCATGTAAATGATCGAATGCTTTCATGTGCCGTGCCCCAAGGTGGTGGTGGTTTTTAATTAAAGGACTGACCGTGGACAGGTTTTGAAGCACATTTAAGGTTGGGGTCAGTGTACTTTTGAATGCAAACTATGTGTGTAGTTTGCACTGAGGCACCTTAATTCAATCAGAGGTACTGTGTAGGGGTCCTGGGTGGTTTTCAGCAAAGTTGTGAAGGTTCTTAATAGCAGCTGTTTTTGTTCCTGTGCTGGGTGGTTCTAAAAAGAATAGCTTACATCTTTGGACTGATATTTTTCAAGTCTAAGTCCATTTCATTATCGGATAATGGTGATTTAACATTTTTATTTCCATCCATAAAATTTTAGTTGTTTTGCTTTTCTTAGCCTAACCTTCAGTTTTGGGGGGGTTTATTTTTAAAAGGAATTTGTAGAATACCTGTGTCTGAGAATTTTTAATGGTACAATTCTGTACTCTTCCCAAAGAATCAAGATTTTAAATAGATACTTAATGTTTTAACCAGTTTGTAAATAAAACTTGCTTCAAATAAGTTTGTATAAACCTGATTTCTAGGTAGGCTTGGGGGGTTGATTAAATTAGCTCTGAAATCTTTTGTCTGTTTACTTTGTTTTTCTTCTTTTTTACAGATACTAAAATGGATCGTAAAGATAAGTTATTTGTGATTAATGAGGTAATTTGAGAAAACCATTACAGTAAATTATTTTAGGAAGACTAAGAATAAAGATAAAGTATTTTGAAATACTTAAGTTAGTTTGTATAAAGACATTTTTTTGGTGTAAAGTTTTTCAAGGACTTGAATTCATTTGTAAAGCTATTCAGACACTTTTTAACTCTTCACTTTACTTACTTTTTATACCTCACAGTTCAGTGCTTTAATCCATACTGGTATTTTTATGTCTAGAGTATTCCATTATCTTTTCATCACTGCTGTTTGAGGTGAGCACATTGCTACAGCCTTTGTGTCAGTCCATCACGTTAGGGGTCTTCCTCTTTTTCTCTGACCCTCCACTTACCAAACTTGATGGCACTCTAAGCCCAGGCTACGAAGCTTCCTTCCTTCAGCACCACTAGTTGAACTCCTAAATGAGAGCATTGTTCTAGTGCCGCGGAGTTCTCAGCAAAGCAAGCAAAGGCATCAAGATGGTACTTTCCAGAGGGAAGATGGGCCATAAAGGAGTATTCAGCAGGCAGATGTGAAAAAGAAAGCCAGGTGTGGGTTTTCAGCCACTGGTGCAGGGTTAGAATGTCCAGTGGTGTGAGCAGAGAGGCCTGCGAAGGAGCAGCGAGGTGGAAGAGCAGCCAGAGGGGTACCTGGAAGCGCAGCTAAGGACAGGTGGCACAAGCTTGGTGTCGTATCTGCAGGTGTTAGGAAAGGAAGCTTTGCATCTTTATGTAGCAACTCAAATAGTTTAGACTTGATGAAATTACAGTAATGCAGGACTTCTTACAGGGGTTTTGGGGAGATATATTACAGAATATTTGCCATTTCTTCTGGTTACACATGTACAGCTCAAGGTACATCCGTCACTCGCCTGCACTGTTTTCTTGTTACTTTGTAAGCTTTTAAGGTTTTGGAATTGAATGTTCCTTGAAGGTGAGTTTGTTCACTCTCTTTTTTCCTCACCAGTGATGGGCAGAGCATTTTTAGTGTCTGTTGGGCAGAAACTTACCAAAGACCTACAAAATTTGGCCTTTGTAGCCAGATAATCTGTATCCATGTTTTTAGAGGGATCTCAGTGTTAGGCTGAATGACTTTATTTTTCTTATTTCCTTCACAGTTCTCTATACTTTGCTTCTCCTAGGTCTGCGAAATGAAAAACTGTAATAAGTGCATCTATTTTGAGGCCAAGAAAAAGCAAGATCTTTATATGTGGTAAGAGAATATAGTGAGTAAGATCCACTTACCTTCTTAAGTGGATTTAGTCTTTGAGCTGCTCATATCCTAGACTCCTTTGAGTCTTATACGAAAGAAAAGAGGGAAGCCTTCCAAGAAAATTAAATATATTAGTGATATGAGCATTGTGGTTCTTACCTGTGAAACATCTAATACAGTCTTAATTCCAGTGTTGAAAAAGTTCCCTTCATGTCTTTCAGGCTTTCAAATTCACCTCATGGACCATCTGCTAAATTCCTTGTTCAGAATAGTAAGTTGATTCTACGTTAAATTTTTAATGAGAAAATTGAAAAGTCTCTAGTTTTCATATACCTGGTCTTTCTTTGTTTGTTTCCCCCTAGTTCATACCCTAGCTGAACTCAAGCTGACTGGAAACTGTTTGAAGGGTTCTCGGCCCCTTTTGTCCTTTGACCCTGTAAGTTTCTTTCTTATGAGGTCTGCTTTTCTTGCTCTGAATGCTTGGGTTTTCTGATAAACATAGCTTACTTAATCACAGACCCGCTTGCTGTCCTTACACAGGCACTTTGCAGTTGTCCAGTGATGTTTCCTTTATCTTATAGGCCTTTGATGAATCGCCTCATTATGCTTTGTTAAAAGAACTCTTAATTCAGGTAATATCTCTCTCAGAAAGTTGTTAGTGGTTTGTTACGAATGAGCGCCTTCCTTTGGATTCCTTGTTAACGTGGCTGTGTGAGGCAGACATGGTCTGTCTTGCAATGGGAAACTGATACAGGCTCTTCTCCACTAGATCTTCTGTACGCCCCGCTATCACCCCAGAAGCCAGCCCTTTGTGGACCATGTGTTTACTTTCACCATTCTGGATAATCGGATATGGTTTCGGAATTTCCAGGTTCGTCTTTTTTTATTTTCCCCATCTTTAACGTTTCTTCCTTTTCAATGCCTTCTAGTGGATGTTGACTCACAGCGACTTTGTAGAACAGAGTAGAACTGCCCCTGTGAGTTTCTGAGACTGGGACTCTTCACGGGAGTAGGAAGTCCCGTCTTTCTCTTGCAGAAGTCTTGGTGGCTTCAAACTTGTGACCTTGCAGTTCGGAGCCCAATGTACTACGCCATCAGGACTCCGCCTCTTAAACTGTACTATGAAATAAATCAGGGCATACAGGGTTCTTAGTCCCAAAGTGCCAATAATAAGTTGCTTTTTAAAAAATAGTCTTAAGGGAAAAGGAGGAGCTGATACCAAGGGCTCAAAAAGAAAGTACATGTTTAGAAAATGATGATGGCAACATATGTACAAATATGCTTGATGCAATTGATGTATGGATTGTTTTAAGAGCTCCCAATAATATGATATCTAAAATAATAATAATGTAAATAAACAAATAAGTACTAGCAGTGTGTGCTGGTTATATTATTGAGACTTGCAGCAAAAATTGCTCCCATCTCACACCGTAAGTGACCTGGACTAGCTTTGTTTCTCGGGCTTCGCGGCCAGCTCCTGGACTGTTTTCATTTGTAAAAGGAAAGGCACAGGGCCTGGAGCTCCAGGATCTCGCTGGGCTCCAGGTTTGTGTGAGGTGCTATAAACACCACACTAAAGTGCAGGCTGCTGCTTCCTGGAGAAGGCTTTCCGGGAGAAATGTTAGCTACCTCCTGTAGCAACTCCCTTAGGAGAGGGAATTGTAGACATCTCCCAGCAGGAGGTTTTGACTGGATGAGAACTCCAAAGGAAGATAGAAATCTGAGGGAACAACAAATACAAAGTTGTCTAAATCCACCGTTACACTGTGTTTAGTGTTAACCACGCCCCTTTCCAAAACTTGTGAGCGCTGTTAACGCTGCAGACAGTGTGCACGGCTGCTCATCAAAGGTTAGACATTTCAGGTCCACTCAGAAATGCCATGGAAGAAAGGTCTGGCAATCTACTTCCCTGAATTCATCCATTAAAACCCCACGGAGCACATTCTACCAGGACACACGATGGGTCTCCGTGAGTCAGGAGTGACTCAGCAATAGCTGAGTAGTTGGTGGGCCTCTTGAGAGAGAGCAAGCAGACCTGAGCCAAGTGTTGAGTCCTTGTAGTTCAGAAGTTGCCGTTTCATTCCAGAATCAGAAACTGGTCAACATGTATCCATTGTATACCTTTTAATCCAATTGAAGAATTATAATAAAAAGAATTATAATCATGATTTAGGAGTTGATTTAAACTTCAAAAGATGTCGCAGAATGTTTTCTAATACATTTTATTATAGGGGTTATAGATTTTCAAATTCATTTGAGGTGTAGTTTCTCAGGAATACATACATTATGGAAAGCAAGATAACAGTTCTAACGTGCTATTCCAAAAGAATGTATTGACAGAATGGGTGTTTTTCTGTAACGATTCTCTGTGACAAGTATTCCAGGAAGTAACGGTGCCCTTGCAGGTTTCCTTTCCAGCTTCACTTCAGTGAGTGCTAATTCTCGTGGATACACTTGCCCCAGGTTATAGACGGGGCTTCTTTTGGGAATCATGTATGTCCACACCAAAACAAAATTACTTTCTTTTTCATAGATTATAGAGGAAGATGCTGCTCTGGTAGAGATAGGGCCTCGTTTTGTCTTAAATCTCATCAAGATTTTCCAGGGAAGTTTCGGGGGACCTACTTTGTATGAAAATCCTCACTATCAGTCACCAAACATGGTAAGCGGTTTGCTGGTCATTGGTCTTCTGTGTGCTAGAACACGCTCTGCTTTTATTTGCTCGGAAATGGAACGAGCGGTTTGGGTGTGGCCCCATCAGTCTTGCTAGTTCCTGTGTTTTCGTCGGTAATAAGGGGTAGAGGAGGGCATCTAAGTGGGGGTCCTTGCCTGCTACCTATTCTTATTTCAAAAGCCTTTGACGGGTTTCTGTTCTAGCATCGCCGTATCATGAGATCCATCACAGCTGCAAAATACAAAGAAAGACAGCAAGTGAAGGATGTGCAGAAACTGAGAAAGAAAGAGCCCATGACCGTGCTGCCCCATGACCCCACTGAAGATGTGTTCGCCACCCCAGCCGAGGAAAAGCCCATCGAGATCGAGTGGGTGAAACCAGAGCCCAAGGTGGATTTGAAAACGAGGAAGAAAAAGGTCTACAAAAGGCAACGAAAAATGCAACAGAAGATGACCAGGAAGGGTGCAAAGTGAATGCAGTTGTTTTGTATTTAATTTGCATTCAGAGTGTAAATATTTCTATTACCCAGAGCTGTCTAACTCGTGTCATTTAAAAGAAAAAATGAAATACCATGAACTTTTTTTGTATGGATTTAATGGTATCAGTATGTTTCTAAATAAAACAACTCATCTTTTTCTGTTTTTCCTTTTAGAGTTAATGTGGAATTAACCATTTGAGCACATGTAAGGTTTAGACTTACCGATATTTGGACAGATTTCAGGGATCGTGATTAGCTGTATAACAAAGTGTACTGGCCACGGGTTAGGTGCCTGCGAGGCAGTGCCCACTCTGACCCGATTTTATGACAGAGCGCTCTCTGACCCGATTTTATGACAGAGGGAAACACCCACTGAATTGGTCCTGCGCTAGCCACACACTTGTCTTTCAGTTATCAGCTAATGAAGCCTTGGAAAAGCCAGTCCCTGACCTGCTTTTCTCGGCTCAAACGCCAAACGCACTGCCATCAAGGCAATTCCAGCTCGCTGTGACTCGGAGGTTTAGCTGCCCCTGTGTGTTTCCAGGCTGTACGTTCCTATGGGAACAGAAAGCCTCACCTTTGTCCCTCAGCTGCTCGAATGCCATCTTTGACCGTTAGGTGCTCAGGCCAGCTCGTAGCCCATCTCACCACCGAGGTTTCTTGGCTCAAAAAAATGTGCAAAAACTCTCATGCTTTTAGATTATTAAGAGTGAAAAGAAAAATTGCCGTAGGTGACTACTGTTAGAGGGGACATCAGGACATTTGAAGTTCTCATGAAAGAACCTTCTATTTGAAGCGAATGGAGTACTGAGCTTTTGATAGTTGAAGCAGATGAATATCGGGGAAATAAGATTGTGGGTGCTGGTGGCCGTGGAGGGAGGGAGGTGGCTGCGGAGGGGATGGAACATGTCGGAAAGGAGCCCTAGTGGTGCAGAGGGTTACCAGTTGCAGTACAAACCCCAAGGGCAACAGTTTGATCCCAGCAGTTACTCAGTGAGAAAAGGATTGGGGCTCTCAGCTTCCACAAAGATTTAAAGGTTCGGAAATCCAGAGGGGCAGTTTTGCCCTGTCCTCTAGATCCCTGTGTAATTGGCTGGATGGTGATCACTGGTATAGTTTTGAGTGTAGTGTACCAAAATGCAAAGGCATTGCCACTCAGGTTCATAGCAACCGTGCCAGGGCAATAGAATTGCCCTTAAGTTTACAAGGCTGTCAGTCTTAAGGAAGCCAGCTTCCATGAGCAGGCCATGAGTATGAAGCACGGACTATTAGCCACAGATGCCAGGCTGCCCCTTTATATGCCTAATAAAATTAGATTCATCCTGTCTTGATATACTTGTTTTCATTCATTTTCCCACACCTTTGTCCTAAAACATTTTCTAACTGCAGTGTTCCACTCTTCCACTCAGTACCATAAACTAATCCACTGGGTCCTCTCTTGAATATTGTGTGTGTATAATATCTTTGCAGGTGGAGGCCTTGCGGTGAAATTTTTGTATCATGCTTGTATTGTCCTAGTAGTGGAACTCTTGAGTCAAAGGTTCTGAACACACAAACAGGTGGTTTGCTCTCTGAAAGGTGATATCTCACCATGAGTTTGAATGTTCATTTCTGAGAAAATGACGGGGGTCACATCTTGTGGGAAACTAACACTGAGGGAAATAGAACTGGGACTTATTCCCTGACAGATCCGGAGGGGATCTGGAGGTCAGTGCTCCACCTTAGGAAGGCTGCCACTCTGGTGGTTGGCGATAGAGTCCAAGTGCATTTTCCTGCGGTAGTCTCTCTTTTCCACAGTTTCTCCCCTTAAAGTATGCAAATGGTTGATTCTGTCTCCCTATAGAAGCAGACATTGCTATTGGCTCCATCTCTTCCCGCCTCAGCATCCAATTGTTCTCATACTGTTAGATCTAGATCTGTCAGGGTAGAGATATACCTCAGTCTGTGGCTCTGCGTGAGAAAGAATGCTGAAGCCTGGTTTGTGATCCAAGTGAGTTTTATGAGAAGAAGTTTCAGGTTTACACAAGCACCCGCGGGGCTCCTCACGAACATGCAGCCTCCCTAGAAGTGGGTGGGAAAGTCACACTGTCGGCTCCAGGCTCCTGCCTTTTCAATTATTCCGCAGGGAGGCATGGTGGACCGCCCTGGTTGACCCCATTGGCCGAATTGAATTCACCTGGCCTAGGTGGGCCAATCCAGGTGCAGCACCCACCCAGGTGTACCTCCCCTTCCTGGCTGGAAACCTGAACCTCTGAGCATGTGCAGTGTGCCTCTCCTTGTTTTGGTAGCTCAGACCTCTGGGCACACGTAATGGACACTCCAGCCCCTGAGCTAGACTACCTAACATTCCCCCCTGAAGAGATGGACCCAAATCTTTGGGGTACTGGGCGATGACATCTCTAGCTACTTTCTGCTGACAAAAGGGGCAAAGTGGGGTTTGGGGTCCGCACCCTTCCTACTCTGTTGGAAGGGGTTGTCCATTCAGGGCCCAGGACGGATACGGTTGAGGTGGTCCAGGAGATGGTGGTCCTGGAGCTGGCACACTTGGTTCAGAGGCCTTGGTAACCTGAGAACTGTTGGGCAAACAAAAAAGACAGACAACCAGGTGAACAGTTTCAGTGAGACAAGGGTAAGATTTTGAGGTGGCAGTGCCCTTGAAGTTAGGTTGGTGTCACAGGAAATCAGAAATCTTAGGACTAACAGGCATGGGTGTTTGGTCACTGTAAACACAGGAATGGGGTAAAGGCATTCGCTGGCCTAAAGGCTGTGAGGGGTCTGAGGTAGAATTATCTGTATAGCCCTCATCCGTCCTGGGGTGGCGATGAAACACCATCTTAAGACCGTCTAATGGCTCACAGAAGTATTTGCAGCCTCTGCCTCGGAGGGGTCAGATGGTGATTGTTTCCAGGGTTTTACTTGTGTATGGTGGATCCAAGCACTCTGCCCTGGAGCTTTGACAGCAGTGGGCATAGAGAGAATTACTGGCAAAGGCCCCTTCCAGACTGGCTGGAGCTGGGAATTAGGGGACCCATCCTTCCAAGTTTTTATAAGAACTAGGTCTCCTGGCTGGCACAAGGGTGCTAAGTTTTCCTCCCTTGGGTTTGAGTGAGCCCATATTGATGGAATGCCTCCTGACATTGGGCTACTTGGGTGGCACATTGCTGTATTAAGGCTACCTTAGAGTCTATAGCTGGCTCTTATAAGAAAAGGCCGCCCATATAAAACTTCATAGGGGCTCAAACACATAGGTTGCTGTGCAGCAATCCTAAAATGTAATAGAGCTATGGGTACTGCATCTTTCCAGCTCATCTGCGTTTCTTGTGTCAGCTTTCTGAGGGTTAGCTTCAGGTGTTGATTAATTCTCTACCTGCCCCGAAGTCTGAGGTCTCCTGGCACAGGGGAGGCAATAGGTTATTCCCAAGTGGTGGGAGACTGCCTGAGTGATTTAGGAGATGAAAGTAGGCCCATTCCCATTATCACTCTGCAGCGATTTGGGAAGCCCAAATTGAAGAATTATTTCCTGAAGTAGTTTTGTAGCCACTTCATGAGCCTTCTCAGTGCAGGTGGGCTATGCTTCAATCCACCCAGTAAAGGTGTCTACAAACACCAGAAGACACTTAAATCCCTGGACAGCAGGAACCTGGGTAAAATCTATCTGCCAGTCTTTCCTAGGTAAGATTGCTTGCGCTGGACAGGTTGAGCAAGGTGACTTCTGAGCGCCCCTGGGGGGCTGTTGGTCTGACAGGTGAGACAGTGGGAAGTTACTGACCTGATGGTTGAGGTTAAATTGGCTCCACAGAACTGCTGAGGGAGCAGGGTCAAGGAGGGTTTATGGCTAAGATGAGTGGCGTCGTGGAAGGCTTTCACCACTTTCCACTGTAACTTTTGTGGCAAGAGGAGTTGTTGTCTTTCTCCCACCATCCATCAGGTCGAAGGCAGATTTCCTGCGTCTTCGCTTGTTCCACTTCTTCTGGCGAGTAATCTGGAAGAGGGAGCTGGTTTGGGGGTACTAGGGCATTTATGGAGGCTGAGGGGCTGGTGCCCAAGGCTGCCTGTCTGGCGGCCTTATCAGCGGCTGGGTTGCCGACAGCGACTTCCAAGTCCCCCTTCTGGTGCCCTCGGCAGTGCACTACTGCCACTTCAGCTGGTTTTTGGACAGCTTCCAAGAGTGCCTTGATTTGGCTCCCATACTTAATGGGGCTTCCCTGAGTGGTGAGATATCCTCGTTCCTGCCAGATAGAAGAGTGGGCGTGGAGAACCAGAAACCCATACTTGGAGTCAGTAAATAAAGTTAGTTTCTTCCCCTCTGCTAGTTCAAGGCCCCGGGTTTAGGCTATGAGCTCAGCCAGCTGGGCTGAAGTTCCTGGGGGCAGGGGATTAGCGTCAATGACTTGGTCGAGGGAGACAATGGTATAACCTGCCTTGTGCACTCCCTCAATCACAACGCTGCTTCCACCTGAGAACCACACACAGTCTGCAACCGCCAGTGGTTGGTCTTTGAGGTCTGGTCATGGCAGGTTATTAGTAGACAGCAGCTCAAAACAGGAGTGAAGGGGTACCGTGTCTTCCCCTGGGTCTGGGAGCAATGTGGCTCGATTAAGTGTGCTACAAGTCTGGATAGTGACATCAGGGTTTTCTATAAGAAGAACCTGGTACTTCAATAGGCGGCTATCAGAAAGCCAGTTATAGCCTTTAGCTTGTAGCACTTCGAAGATCCTATGATTAGTTAGGACCTCTAAATTTCCTCCTATGGTGATCTTTACTGCCTCTTGGACCAAGAGGGCCACAGCAGCAATTGCTCGTAGACAAAGTGGCCAGCCTGCTGAGGTAGGATCTAACCTCTTTGATAGGTAGGCCACTGGCTGAGGCTGAGGTCCTAGCTTCTGGACCAGCACCCCCAGAGCTACCCCCTTTCTCTCATGAGCATACAGGAAAAACTTCTTTGCAGGGTCTGGGAGACCCAGCGCTGGAGTTTGAAGCAGAAGAGTCTTAAGCTGGTTTACTGCTTCCCTCTGCTCTGTACCCCACAGTAGGAGTTCTAGATCACTCCTCCCTTTCAGGCTCTCATATAGGGGTTTTGGTAGGAGTCCATAGTTAGGAATCCAGATTCTACAAAACCCTGTGAGGCCTAGAAATGCCCGCAGTTGCTTCCGCATTTCCGGC